AACCGTTGTGCCTGTTGACAAAATACACATGTTCAAACATTTATACATAAATAAACACAAATTAAAAGTTAAATAGGCAAAGAGTGTATACTTGCAGAATATATAGATCAACTAGCAGAAAAACGAGAACATGAGGAGGCAAAATGGTTCAACACCAACATATTGCATATGCTCATAGCTACAATTGCGGTGCCCAATAGTTGCAATTTCCATTATTACTGATTGCAATTATGCAATTCAATGTTTTATTTGTTTGGTTTTCATCAAGAGCAGATATTAATAGGAACATCAATGGGCAGATAGCAGAAACTGACATGAACAAAAGCAAAAGCACAAGACATGACTAAACAAAGGGAGTGTGTGCACAGAAATGAAACAACAACATTGTATTACTATAATCCGTCGACCCAAATAAAACATGCAAATTAAAATAGTTGCTGCATCCAGTAGCTCAGGGTGCATCCGAGCAAAGGACACTGTTACAAGCGGCACAAAAATAGCTACTTAACAGGCACTAGCATTGTTGTTACAAGTGGAGCTTGCTATATATAAACTACTAGTAGTGTACATGCTCTTTCACTCTGCTTGGTGGATTAAAGTGCAAACCGTAAAGAGCTAAGCAAGAAATAGCAGATCCTAGAGGCATATATGCCACAAAAGCAATAAACCAACATGTTTATTCTCATATATGCCACATTGTTCATAGAAGAAACATTTTATCCAAACAAAAGAATGCAGATCCTAGAGACATATGCCACATTAACAAGATATACTAAAATTAGGGCGTGTTTGGTTCGTGCCTCACTGCGCCGCAATTTCCGCATGTCTTTTCTTCGCTGCCGTGGTTGCGGCATGCCGCAACCTCGCCATGGTCCTCTAGTTTATTTCCAGCACCACACCTTGCCAAAAGCTTGGCGAGCAAAACGGCCGCCGTAGCTTTGGCGCCGCCTCTGTAGGGGTTCGGCACGCTTAGGTGCAGGACAAATGCGCCCTTACATCACCAAGTACAAAAATTTACAGTGCATACTATGGTGTAAACTTAGTGATGGTAATATATAAGTGTTGGCCTAAGCAAAAGGTAATCTTTTGCATAGATATGAACTTATCCTTTAATCATTTGTATATCGGGCTTGGGTGTACCTCAGTTGCATTCAGATCATCACCCTACCAGTAAAGTATACTGAGGTGTTGAGCCCCCTGGAAACAATTCATGCAAAAAAAGTGTCAATGGAAAAGGACAACTAGATGAAAAATCTTACAAATATAACTGTAAAAAAATAGAGGAAAAATGTTCACTGACAAACAAAAGAGTGAAAAAAGAAAAAAAGGTGCAGCAGCACAACTGATAGGCCGGAAAGGAAAAAATGATTAGCTTTAGGAAGCCCCAAAATAGAATAAAGTCCTAGTAAAAAGGCAAAAAAAGAGTTGTTCTGTGCTTCGACACAGAAATACTCTAGTACAAGAAAAGGGTCTAACTAAACAAAGTCTACTAGGAAGCATCTAGTTATAATTCAGTAGGACACATTCACCATCATAAGATCCAATTCTCAGAAGTGCTAAATGATTCACCACATTTCCCAACCAAGCTAATAGGAGTAGAACATCTACAAATTTAGAAGGTTAAGGCACTAAAACACAATCCACAACTAGCTAGAACTAGCCATCCCAGATACATTGACAACCAGATAACCAACTATCCAGCTACCATCTCGATAATATTGGGATCCAAAGCTCACCCTGCCTCAACAGAATATACAGGCAATAGAACGTACAGCCTACAGTTGATCAAACCTACCTCGCTGGAAAAAGGTGCCTTCCAATTTCAATGCACAGTAAACTAAATTTAACCTATCTGGCTATCTCGCTGAAAAAGGTTGCCAGCTGTTGCATAATAAAACAAAGTGCATCGAGCCAACACTTGAATTGAAAACGCATATCCATACCACGAAAGCGAGCAAACGAGGAGAAACTTAGAAATTCAAAAACTCCTATGTCACGAATGGAACAACCAGAGCGACAAAGCAAGTTCTGAATTAACTAATGAAACATCATTACACACCACACCCAATGATTTGTTGCTCCAATTTGAACTACTAAACTGCTATCTCCGCTGGCCTGCTCAAATACCACCGCAACTTGGACATCGCCAGAAGCTCAGAAGTTAGAAACATAATCCTAAGCCGTTGCCAAGCAACCCAACAGCTCATATGAGAGCTAGAGCACAATACATCAAAATAGAGCTCTAGAGAAACCAAATTCCTAAGACCAAGCAAATCAAATTCCAGATTCCCGGTACAAGCAATTAGAGCTGCATAGAAGCAAATTTCCTCAGAACAAGCAAGCAACCAAATCGCCCAAACCCAAGGACAACACCACCCCAGAGGTCCTCAAACCAACCCACCTCCTGATATTCCCAGTGACCTCCAATTGGAATTGGATTAGATTTACCTGCACCTGTGCCTGCGCGAATAAAAGATGCAAGCGATGGGTGGATGGCCCAGATGGCAGATGCGTCACCATTCCAGCTCCGTGGCATCAACTCCTAATCCGGCCGACACCAGACGGGGAAACTACCCAGCAGCAACGACATTGGAATACTAGGACAGGGCATTGACTAGACTATAATGTAGATCCCTAATCGAACAGACATCAACAAGGACAGAAACCAAAGCAGCAAATCGAGCACAAATCCGACCTCTACATCAATGCGAAATGCCTACTCGAACCCTAGGGCAGGCAAGGATGTCTAAAATTCCATCCATCCCCAACACATAAGACAACAGATCCAAGCAATAAACTGGAACCCTGACCTCTAGCCATCCCATCGGCCTTAGCCCGTGGAGACGCGGACGACAGGCCTCGTGATCGGTGGGCAGTCACGGCCGCATGGTGTGGAACTGAACGCGACTAATCGATGGGTGGACGCGTGGGTGCCGCGCGCGATAGCGATGGCACATGCGCATCCTACCATCCTGGGCGCCTAGGCAGAATGAAGAGGGTTGGGACAAGAAATAACACGAGAGCGAACCCTAACAATGAAGATTTCCAGGAATCGAAGCAAGGAAAATCAACGAAACCTTGCAAGCTTTTAGAATCGCCTGTCGCCAGTACCAGTGGAGAGCAGCTCTTAGGGAAGAAGAAGAGGGGGAAATGAAACAACCACAAAAAAACAGGCGCGACACCAATTACGAAACAGTAGTCCTGAGAGTGGGCCCTGCACATCATAGACACAAAGCAATGAGACAGATCGGATGGACAAGTCTTGATCCAGCGGCCCCAAAATCGAGTGTCGCACGGTGCCAAAACAACCAAGTGTAGTATAGCATTTGTCAAATCTAAAGTTGTTAGAATTTTTATCTTTTTATTATGGAAAAATTGGTTTCATAGCATCTAAAGATCACAACATTCAGAAAATACCACTCAAATATTAAGGTCACGTGAAATACCACCGAAAAAACGATCGGTTACCCAAAAGTACCGATCTGTCACGGTTTGAGCTAACTACGTGAGTCCACCTCCTCCTTCTCACGTGAGCACCTGTGCAAATCCCATCCCTCACTCTTCCTCAGCTCCGGGCCGTCATCATGGTCCTCTCCATGGCCACCCACCTCGTGTTCCGCCGCCTCGACCTGTCCCGCTTCATCACCCACATGCTCGTCGGCATCTTCCTGGGCCCCTCCGCGTTGGGCCACAGTGCGTCCATCCGCGTGCTCTTCTCCGAGCGCGGCACCTACATCCTCGAGAGCGTCTCCCTGGTGGCGCTCATCCTCTTCCTCTTCTCCATGGGCGTCACGACCGACCCCAGCCTCCTCCGCTGCCCCAGCGGCCGCGCCGTCGCCGTGGGCATCACTGACGCTGTCGCCCTGCTCACGACATCCCTCATCACCGACGTCACCTCGTGGTTCCTCCGCGCCTGCTTTGCCACGGTGTTCCTCGTCTCTGCAGGCCATGTCGTCGGCCTTCACGACCAAGTTCCTCATCGTCTTTGTGCTCTTCATAGGCTTCCTCGAGCGCCCGTCGGCCGCTACATCACGTAAAAGCGCACCCCACCTCGCTCGCTGTCGTGCGCTGCCGCGTCCGCGCTCAGCACATCCTGGATGTGGGATGCGGAACATGACGTTGTATGCCAGGCTCTCCAGTACGGGCGTTGATGGCCATGGCCACCTTGAGCACCTTGCTGACGCACTCCTTGGTGTCGGGCACCATGGGCTCTAGCTTGCGGTGCTCGCCAAAGACGGACGCCACGAGGTTGGTGACGGTGATGGACAACGCGAGCGCGGACACCACGCCCTTGCTGGTCCCGGACATGTCCTCAGCTCCTCGCCAGTAGGAGCTTGGTGAATTTCTCCATCACATCCAACTCTAGAAGTAACAGTGAGTGGACCGAGAGGATCGGATCATGCTTCACGGCATGAAAACGAATGAAATCGAGGGCGCTCAGGTAGCTAGTTGTTTTTTTTCCTTTAGATAGACGGAAATCGATTGTGTTACACTATTAACTCCAAACATGATGGAAGGCTACTTTTACATAACAGTTCGACCAATCAGTTGTATTTTACGTAACGGTGTTCTTTCGGTAATGTCATACCTCATACCACATGATATATGGGCCTCGATATAATGGGTTGTAGACCTTGTGGGTTTGTGCTGGCGACAATGAGTGGTGGATATATAGGAGAGAAGCCAAAGACGAAGAGGGGAACAAAAAATATCCAGAAACACGAACGGGTCAGGAAGGTGTTCTTCCTCCTCACGATTGAGATCCTATCCTTTGATTTTCTCCTGTGATAGCTCACGTCACCGGATTGATCTCACCGGCAACCACGGGTTGTGACAGTGGTATCAGAGCCAACTTTCCTCAGCGTGGGTGGTGGGCAGCGTCAACTCCTGCTTCGACGCTGGTTATCGAACATGAAGCTTAGTTTGATGAGTCCTTGGTTTCGGACAACAGAGCAATAGTTGATCTTGTCATCAATGATTTGATCCCTCATGACAGTGACATGGATATTGTAGATAAATTGCTCAATGATATGCCGCTTGACATAAGATGGGATGAGGAGAGGCAATTTGACATTGGCACGCATGAAAGCCTGTCGCAACACCTAAGCTTGAGTGTGGATGATGAGCTAACAAAGCACATGGTCAAGCTCAATGCCAGTGTAGTGCTTACTCCTATCAGCACCTCATGTCTTCTCAACCAATGTATGAATGCTGCAGACCAAGTATTTAATGAGTTTCTACAAGGGGAAGAGTCACAGGACAGTTTATTGGAGTTATTAGCTCATGGAGAGTGTTCGATTGGCATGGACAACAAACCAATTGCCGAGCCAATCTCTTTCAAGGCTCCGATGGCAGGGGAGTTGTTTGATGAAAACCATGTATGGGATGATGATCCACAGTATGATACTGAGCCACTGGATGACATGAGCATGGATGTAGATCATGTGGTAGAGCCACCCACCAAGGACTTTCAGGTACTCCCCAACGTCGAAGGCTCTGCTAACGAGATGGAGAACATCACAGAGGAGATCATCTTGGTACTATGCAATGATGAATTGTGGGATGGCAAAGTTGCTGGATTATCATTGTTCCAATAGTCCGATACAGAAGTTGCAGATATCATATCAATTCCATATGCATTCAGTTTGGGCAATATTTTTCCTTTGAGGAATACTGATAATGTACAGGTTGTTAGTCTCATCAACTAGAACTACTATGACCTGGCACACTTTGGCATGCTTGTTCGGCAGCATGATGCAATCGTTGTTGGACATCAACCTGAGCTTGGGATGGATGCGGTGGATGCCGTGTTTGATGAAACACCTCCTAAGATGTTTGTATTGGCTTCTGAGTTTGTCTGATGTTTGTGCTGCACATGGATTACTCAACGGCATGCTCTATCAGGATGTGCTATGGGACGATGAGCTGTTGCATGGCATCCATGTGTTAGTTGATCTCCACCAATAGGCCCAATGGCCTATTGGGCCCTTACCTCTACGCCCTGATCGGGGGCGTCTAACCCTAACTGGTTGGTGGGCCCCTGTCGCACAGCACATATATATAGAGGAGTGGGGAACTAGGCTCAGCTCATGAGGTTCGAAGGAGCCACCACACCCACCTACAGAAAACCCTAATCTGATCAAAGGTCGTGCTGCCAGCGAATGGATGTGCCCCGCCACCGCCGTCGTTCCCCTGCAGGTCTACACCGGACCATCGTCTCGCCACCGAACCGAAGCTGCCCCTACACCGGCGTCTACGCTGCTGCTGTGCCGCAATAGTGAAAGGCGAGAAGGGTCTTCCCCGGATCTATGGGTTACACACACAGAGGTACTAATCATCGATCCTAACAATGGTACCAGAGCTAGGTTGCCTCTATGTGACTCTAACCCTAATCGGGTAAAAGAAACGGAAAAGGGACCGGGGGTGGCAGAGATTACTGGAACCCCGGTCACCACCGCCACCGCGCGGGAAAAGTGCCGCACTGACACTGTAAGAAAGAACAGATCCATTCGAATCAGAGAAGAGATAGGACCCTTGGCTCACGAAGCCGAACCCTAACCCAAGAACATAAAAGATCCAATTTGGATCTAAGAAAAGAAAAGAGTTCCTTTCAGATCTGAACAGATAAAGGTTCCCCAAGCCTAACCCTAACTGGGTGAAAGGAAGAGCTATCGGCACTTCAAGCGAACCCTAAACCCGTAAAAGCCTTCAACGGGAAGAGAAACCGTAGAAGAAGAAGAAGAGTGGATTCAGATTTGGCCGAACCCTAAGACTAACCCTAATTTTAACCCCAATCACAAATCGGGTTAATCCCAAAAGAAGAAGGGGAAAGGGGAAGAAGGGAAAAGAATCTGGGTTCAACCGAACCCTAACCCTAACTCGCATGGAGAAAGGGAAAAGAGAAAGCCATTCGGATGAACTCCAAAAGAGAAAAAGAAATCAAAAGAAAACGAACCCTAACCCTAGATCCCCTTTTCGGGTGAACAAGCAAAAAGAAAAGAAAGAAAACGCAACTCAAATCCAAAGGGGAAGATCCAAACCCTAACCAGTTCGAAAAAGAGAAACGAGATCCAAATCAAAAAGAAGAAGGGGATGGGAAAGGAGAAAGGGAAAGGGAAAGGGGAACAGAAAAACCTCGCTGGGTGTCGGGAAAACCCTTCACCGGCGTGGGAGAAGAAGACCGAGCCGGGCTCGCTGCTCGTCGGGCTCGGCCAAGGGATCACCGCAGCCAGGCCACTCGACGGCGGTGCGCTCACCCACTAGGGAGCGCGCACGCCGGCGATGGGGGCCAGCGGCGGTGCCATGGTCGCCTTCGCTCGCTCGTTGTGCTCGCTGCGCTGAGGTAGAGAGAGGAGAGAGCGGCGAAGAAGAGAGAGGAAGCAGCTTAAAGAATGAGCTAGGGTTTTCGCTCACGGGCACGCGGCGTCGGCTTTTATACGAGCGAGATGCGCGCTCGACCGTCGGATGTGAATGGATGGCCGAGATTGAATGGGCCAAGTCGCGGCCCAGGCGGGTGAGCGTGCGCACGGGACTTTGCCGGCCCAGGCCTAGGTTGCGGCCTAGGTGCGGCCTGCGCGCGCAAAAAGAAATGGGCCGAGCCGTTTCTGCGGTTTTTGGGCCGAAACAGTAAAGTTTGAGTCCAGTTTTGCATTTTTCTTTTTCCAGAAAATTGAAAAATGCAAATTGGCTCAAAAGAAAAATAGAAAAGTAAATTTTCCCTGTGGGTAAAATTCAAGAAATTGAGTGAAAATTTTTTGCTGCTAAAGAAAAAGTATATTCTCCAGTGATTTTGAATCGACATGATATTTAACTGGAGAAAAAGAAAGTTTTTCCAGTAAATGTTTATTTCCTAGAAATTGATTAATGGATTAAAGAAAATAGAAAAAGCAATTTTCCCTGTGGGTAAAATTCAAGGAAAAGAGAGTTTTTCCACAGCCAAAGAAATTGTTGATTCTCCAGTTATTTTGAACCAATGTGGTATTTAATTGGAGAAAAAGAGTTTTGATAAAATTATGATGTTGTTATTTTCTGACCAACGTTGTTAATAACAATATCGTAATGTTAATGATTTATGCATTAATTCTACTTCTGTCTAACGGTGATGTAGAATTAGTGTATAAGAACAGATGTTAATTTTAATGATTTATGCATTAATTCTACTTCTGCCCAACGGTGATGTAGAATTAGTGTGTAAGAACAGTTATGAAAGTTAATGATTTATGCATTAATTCTATTTCTGCCCAACGTGATGTAGAATTAGTGTATAAGAATAATTGTATGTTTTGATTTTGACCAACGTTGGAATCAAGGCATGCAAATGGTGTTATTCTTATGATAAGAAAAGTTTTGACCTAGTTTTTATCTTATCTAAGGTGGACTGGGTAGTCACCTCACCGTGTTCCACTGAGTTTGTGGCACCAGTGAGGAAGACAAAAGAGAATGATGCCACTTGGGCAACTAAAGAGAGGGATTTTGAATCCCAAAAGATAGTCCTATGACTTTTATGCATAGAAAGTGGGTCACTGCCAACAAAAAATGTTTTGGCTGTGATAAAGAACATGATTGAACCTGTAATTGTGGGCTCAATCCCAGAGTGTGACACAGTCACTGAGTACCTCGATAGAATAAAGAGTCAGTTCATTGGCTCTTCAAAGACATGCTACCCAGCTGATAAAGCAGCTGGTGACAGAGTGTTACTCTAGAAATGGTGGCATAAGAGAGCTCACGATGCGTTGTCGAAATTATGGCACTGTCGTTTAGGCCATATTTCGAGGGGGAGAATAGAAAGACAAGTTAAGAATGATATTCTTCCTCCATTAAAGCTCACAGATTAAGAACAATGCAGGGAATACATAAAAGGAAAGTATGTAAAGAAGATTAAGAAAGATGACAAGCAAAGCGTATGAATTTTACAGATTATTCACATAGACATCTGTGGTCAACTTTCCTGTAAAGAGTGTGGATGGTTATGATCCGTTCATAACATTCATAGATGATTACTCCCATTATGGCAATATTTATCCAATCAAAGAAAGAAAAGATGTATTGGATAAATTTAAGATATTAAAGATTAAGATAATCAGGTCTGACCATGGGGGAGTACTACGGTCGGCATACCCTAAAAGAATGGCATAGTAGCCCCGTATTCTACACTAGGTGAACCTCAGCAGAATAGAGTAGCTAAAAGAATCAATCGTACCCTAATGGATATGGTGGGCAGTATGATAAGTTACTCCACCTTACAGTTGAGCCTGTGGATGGAGACATTGAAAACGGCCATTCATATTCTCAATGAAGTATCAAGAAAGTCGGTGCCCAAAACACCGTATGAGTTGTGGACAGAAAGAGTACCCTCACTAAACCATTTGCGTGTGTGTGGGGGAGCCCTGCTGAGGCTAAAGTATTTAACCCAAATATTGGGAAGTTAGATTCCAAAAATAGTAAGTTGCCATTTCATTGGCTACATAGAAAAGTCAAAATGTTTTACTTTCTACTGTCCAGAGAGACATACAAAGTTTGTGGAAACGGGACACACTGTTTTCCTAGAGGATGAATTGATGAAGGGGAGCATGGTAGCTCGAGAAATTGACCTTGAAGTGAAGCGGGTGTATACGCCCACTCCAATGATTCATGAGCCATTTTTCTCACTAACTGCTGTGCTGCACCGACATTGCTAGATACTATGGTGCCAGCACCTGTTGTTATCCCACCTGTGGCAATAATGAATGACAATGAGGAACCTGTTCTTCAGGATCCTATAGAACCTATTACCACACATGAGGGGAAGCAACAACAGCCTCAAACAGAAGATGTGCCAAAAGTGGAGGCCCCTAGAAGGTCTCAAAGAGTTAGAAAATCAGCTATTCCTGTTGATTATGAAGTGTACAACACTGGGGAATTTCAAATGGAGGATGATCCCACCTCATTTGAAGAAGCCATGAGAAGTGATCATTCATCAAAGTGGCTTGAGGCCATGGAAGATGAAATGAAATCAATGAATGCCAATAAAGTTTGGGACTTGGAAATAATTCCTAAAGGAGCCAAAACAGTAGGCTGTAAATGGGTCTACAGAACAAAACTTGGCTCTCAAGGGAATATAGAGAAATATAAAGCATGACTTGTGGCAAAAGTCTATATGCAAAGAGAAGGGATTGATTACAATGAGATCTTTTTTCCAGTCTCATGTAAAGTTTCCTTCAGAATCATAATGGCATTAGTGGCACATTACGATTGAGAATTACATCAGATGGATGTAAAGACGGCATTTCTCAACGGAGACTTGGAGGAAAATGTTTACATGGCACAACCGAAAGGTTTTGTCATGGAAGGAAAAGAACGAATGGAATGCCGCCTAAAGAAATCTATTTATGGATTAAAACAAGCTTCAAGACAGTGGTACTTGATGTTTGATCAGACAATAAAGGATTTTGGGTTTTAAAGAGAATGTAGAGGACAATTGTGTCTATACAAAGTAAAGAGAATGTAGAGGACAATTGTGTCAATACAAAGTTTAAGAATGGGAAGTTTATCTTCCTTGTCCTATATATAGATGATATCTTACTTGCTAGTAGTGATGTCAGTCTACTACTGGAGACAAAGAAATTTGATATGAAAGATCTTGGCGAAGCCTCGTTCGTTCTAGGGATCGAGATTCACCGAGATAGAAGAAAAAGGGTATAAGGATTGTCACAAAAGGCATACATAGAAAAGATCTTAAAGAAATTCAATATGCACAAATATAGTCCCTTACCTGCTCCTATAGTCAAGGGCGACAGATATAGGGATTTTTAATGCCCCAGGAACCAATATGAGCTCAATCGATAAAGTAAAAGTGGTTCCATATGCTTCAGCTGTCGGAAGCTTGCAACATGCTCAAGTATATACGCGCCCTGACTTGGAATTTGTTACCGGGTTTTACTTGGCAGATTCCAGAGCAATTCTGGAATAGAACACTGAAATTAGTAAAGAAAGTCTTGCATTATTTGCAAGGAACGAAAGGCCTCATGATGACATATAGAAGATCTGATTCATTTCACATAGTGGGATATTCAGATTCTGATTATGCGAGAGTGAATACATATCCAGACGTGGATTTTCTATCATCTCGCAAAGGGGAGCTATTTCATGGAAAAGTTCAAAGCAAACTGTCACTACATCGTCCATAATGTATGATAGTTTGTAGCGTGTTATGAGGCAATGGGCAGGTGAACTGACTAAAGAAGTTCATACCCGGTTTGAAGGTGGTTGACGACATCTATAGACCACTTAAGTGATACTGCGATAATAATCAGACAGTACAGTATACTCACAACATAAGTCAAGTGGTGCTGCCAAACACATTGACATAGAGTATTATGTTGTGAAAGATAAAGTTAGAGAAAGTCATAAGTCTTGAGCATATAAGTATCGAAAAGATGCTCGCGGATCCGCTTACAAAAGGCTCACCACCCAACATGTTTAGAGAACATGATGTTTAGAGAACATGTAGGTAGCATGGGTTTAAGGGGAAGCCTAAAATTCCTAGACAAAAGAAGGCACAAAGATAAGTATCTATTTCAGAACAGAGTAGTGTGTTGTAGCTGTTAAGTCTATCGGCAATGGACCGTGACGATGAGACATGCTCTATGCGCTAATCTGTAATGGAATGAACAAAAGTAAATGATATGAAATTGAAAGATGGAATGAGATCAAGGGGGGAATGTTAGTTGATCTCCACCAATAAGCCCAACGGCCTATTGGGCCCTTACCTCTGCGTCCTGATCGGGGGCGTCCAACCCTAACTGGTTGGTGGGCCCTTGTCGCACAGCACATATATATAGAGGAGTGGGGAACTGGGCTCAGCTCACGAGGTTCGAAGGAGCCGCCACACCCACCTATAGAAAACCCTAATCCGATCAAAGGTCGTGCTGCTAGCGACGGGATGTGCCCCGCCACCGCCGTCGTTCCCCTGCAGGTCTACACCGGACCACCGCCTCGCCACCGAGCCGGAGCTGCCCCTACACCGGCGTCTACGCTGCTGCTGTGCCGCAACAGTGAAAGGCGAGAAGGGTCTTCCCCGGATCTACGGGTTACACACACAGAGGTACTAATCATCGATCCTAACACCATGACCTTGATGGTCTGTTGCAACAGCTAGATCCAGAGTTGGATGATTTGATGCAGGGCAAGTTGCTGTCTAAAGAAGTGATTTGTGATAGCATGGTGTGGGATGAAATACAAGCTGAAATTGGCACGTACCATGGTTTACTGCAGCAATTAGCTCAAAGTGGGGATTACTTTGATGAGAAACTGATTGGGTCAGACAAAGAAATACTTTCATTGAGGGCGGTAGCTAAAGACTCAAGAAGGAAAGTTCAGCAACTGAAATACATTGTAGATGAGTTACAGTTCAAATTTGACTGTTCACTATCTCATCTTGGAAGCATGTGCAATAGCTTGAGGAATTATGAGTGGACGAAATGCCCCTCCTTGAACCTGAAGAAAGGAAGTCTTGATGGAATCTGTCCTAATGAGAAAATATATGCTAGTAATGGAGATGGAAATGAAACTTATTCCAAAGTTGAGATATATGATCTGTACCTTGGGAAATGGATATGTAGCCCATCTATGCTGCTCTGTCGGTTTGCTCTTGCTGCATCTGAACTAAATGGAGTCGTCCATATGTCTGGTGGCTATGATGGAAGTGTGTACCTGGAATCAGCAGAAAGGTATGATCCAAGGGAGCATTTCTGGGTCTGGCTTCCAAGTATGAGTACTAAAATAGGATGCCGCACCTTAACTGTCTTTGGAGACACCCTATATGACATTGGGAGGGCATTGTTAGCAATATGTTTGAATGTACCATGCGATCCAGGTGGCAATCATGACTGCTTCATTCCAGCCATTGCTTGGAGACAAGCAATGTTTTGTGGGGGCGGTAATGTCATACCCCGTACCACATGATATATAGGCCTCGATATAATGGGCTATAGACCTTGTGGGTTTGTGCTAGCGACAATGAGTGGTGGCTATATAGGAGAGAAGCCAAAGGCGGAGAGGGGAACAGAAAATATCCAGAAACACGAACGGGTCAGGAAGGAGTTCTTCCTCCTCGCGATTGAGATCCTATCCTCTGATTTTCTCCTGTGATAGCTCACGTCACCGGATTTATCTCACCGGCGGCCACGGGTTGTGACACGGTGGCATTTTTCAAATCTCGTAATCTTTGGATGCTATGAGACCAATTTTCCCCCAAAGCTCGGTTATATTCACAAGCAGCAAGCAAGTAAATCAACAGGATTGAATTAGTGTTCCACACTACTACTGTAATTTTTACTGAGGCGGGAAAAAACGATTAACCGAGGCAAGCAACTGATCCGCCTCCGTCAAAAGGTCACGATTAATCCAGTCTTAACGGAGGTGGTTGGCCCAACCGCCTCAGTTAATCGATTAACCGAGCCGGTCGGCTTAAGGCAAACACCTCGGTTTATGAAAATAAAAAAACCCCAAACCCGCCGCGTCGTCGGATCTGCCACTAGGGAGCGCAGTTCGAATCCCCGCCGATGCCACACGCCGCCGGATCCGTCGCCAGAGGGCTCCTCGTCGCATCCAGGTACCTCCTGGCTAGTTTCACCACGGATCGAATCAATCGCCATCGGGGAGGACACCACGCCGCCGGATCCAACGCTGGAGGGCTCTACCTTGCCGGATCGAACAACCGTCGCGCCACTCCACCAGATCCGTGACAGATTGAGCCCGCCACCACGCACCTCCACCGAATCGAGCCCACGCCGCCACCATCGAGCTCGTGTTGCCACCACTTAGTCCGCACCACCACTTAGCCCACGCCGCGGTGGAGGGCTCCCCGGCCCCGCGAGCGCCGGAGGGCCTGGCGCGTGCGGCCTGCAGGGGCGCGAGCGCCTCCAGCCGCCGTAGGAGAAGATCCTACGCGAGAGGAGAGAGATAGCGGCCGCTAGTAGTATGCGGCGGTGGGTGAGGGAGAGCCGAGAGAGGAGGAGAGGTGGGAGTGCGGCGGTTGGTGAGGGAGAGCCGAGAGAGGAATAGGAGATCGAGGTTGGGTGCGGGGGGGACCGCATTGTTGTCGCCTCAAACCCTAAGTCGCATATATATACACATAAACACAGTAATGGACTGCCGTGTGTTAGCGGGCTGGGCTTGATTTACATAGGTGGTTGCCTTATAAATGCCCGCCTCGGTTAATAGGCATTAACCAAGCCGGTTGCTAGGGTAGCTGCCCTGCCATGAATAATCGAGGCGGACAACCGGTCCAACTGCCTCGGAGGCCTTTTTTCCAAGGCTCGGTTAAGTTTTTGTGTAGTAGTGGCATAATAATACTACTAATTTAGACTGAGTCAAACTCCTTTGATTTTGACTAAGTTTATAAGAAATTTTATTGTTATTTATGATTTTAAATAGATATTTTATAAAAATACATTTCATCATTAATTTAATAATATTTATTCTATATATAAATATTACTTTTTATATGGATTTAAGTCCTCTTTGAAAACGTGAATTGCATCTTTTTCAGACGGATGGAGTACTTCGGTAGATAGGTAGATAAAGAGGAGCTATTTTTTACAAAAATTGTAAAAAAAAAATGGACTGCAAGTAGACAAGGGGGGCAAATATTTGTAGCCTGATGACAGTTACATACGATTCCAGTACTATAAGGTGAAAATATGAGAACAGAGAGCATAAAAAACACTTAGTATATGTATACCTAATGTGTTGTTTATATCATTCCATGGTATGATTACCGTTGGTATATGGACATAGTGGTGTGTGCGCGGCGTTTTTTTGAGGGGTTTTGCAGTGATTAAGCGCCTAAATGCCGGTTTGAACTCTTATTCCCCCTTGGCCATGTATACAATTCTTATTTTTGAGAAAACTGCACGATTTTGTTTGAACTTGCATACACCTTATTAGTTATATAACCACGACATTAGGGTGGCTATTAAATCCACACAAAGAGAATTCTCTAAAAGTCATGAATTTCCTATGTATGTAATGACCGTACGAAAAACAGATTAAAGTTGCCAAAATGTGTAACCCATCAGTATGTATAACTCATAAGCTCACATTTTCGATGTTTCGCGTCATCGCAACAAAAACATCACTCACTTATAAACAACCCCAATTTACACTGCCACAACCACCGTAGCCCCAAGGATTAATCCACGGTCCACCGTCCACATATTGAGCTCCTTACATGCTAAGTGCACGAAGCTACTTCATCTGCGTGGCCTTCCACATTCGAACACACCTGCTGCCCTTATCATTGCTCCTCGGCTTCCTCCTCCTCTTCCTCCTCTTCGTTACCTTCGTCGTCCGAAGAAGACGACGACGAGTCTGAATGATCCGAATCTCTGTCTTTCTTCGGCTCCGGGGCGGCGACCGCGGCGGCAGGTGGAGCAGCAGGGGCCGGTGGATCTGGCAGCATCGCCGTGAGGAAGCCCAGCGTCATGACGACGTCGGCCATCAGTGGTCGCACGGAGTCCTCTTCCTGCAAGCACATCGCAGCCATGGCGACCACCTGGTTCAACGCTTTGGCAGGGTACTCCTCCTTTATGAGTGGATCAACCAGCTCATGGTATCTCTTCTGGTCTTTGAACATTGGCATGGCCTGAAAATGTGTCGTGCAGATATGCCAATGCAGCTTAGCAAAATCAAATGTTTAAGGTCATGGTAAATGCGATCAAACTAAGTTCAGAAAGCAACATTATTATGAGGCGAATGCAATCATATCATACAAAAAGAAGGCTGAAAAATGTCGGTAAATTGAAACGCTCCGAGAGTCAGGGTTTCATTGACTGCTAGTATCTTCTATCGCATCTTCAGAAATCAGAAATCCGTGTCATGCCAACAACACAAAGTGGGTGACTTTATACTTACCCAGGTGACAACATTCTGCTCGTCCACCGGCTTGCTGGTGTCGACGGCCCTCCTCCCGGAGATGAGCTGCACCAGCACCACCCCGAAGCTGTAGACGTCGGACTTCATGGTGGCCTGCCCGGTCCGGTCGTACTCCGGCGCGCAGCAGCCGAAGGAGCCCATCATGGGCGACGTCACCGGCATGCTGCCCCCCGCCTTGCCGAGCTCCGCGAGCCCGAAGTCGGAGAGCTTGGGCGTGGACTTGTCGTCGAGAAGTATGTGGGAGGCCTTGAATTCCCCGTACACCACCGGCGGGTTCGCCGTCTCGTGCAGGTACTCCAGCCCCTGCGCCGCGCCGTGCGCCACCTTCATCCTCGTGCACCAGTCCATCGGCTTCTTGTCCGCCGGCAGATCTGGTGTAAGTAAGCAGCTTATTTAGCAGAGATGCGATTCACAAATTCTGCAGGAGTCAGCGATCGAGGCGCGCACCGAACAGGTGGTCTTCTAAGGTGCCGGCGGGCACGGACTCGTACACCAGCAGCCGCTGGTCTCCGTCGGCGCAGTAGCCAATGATGTCGACGAGGTTCTCGTGGTGGAGCTGGCTGAGCTTGGCGACCCCTTTCAGGAACGCGTTGTTGTCCTGGAACCCATGCTTGTCCAGCTGCTTGATGGCCACGGTCTGGGGCGAAGCGGCAGAGGCGCGCCATGCATGACCACCCATTTAATTCAGAAAGATGCACGCATGGACATGTGAGACGTGGCAGTACGTTCACGTACGTACCTGGCCGCTCTTCTCTAGCCGGCCCTTGTAGACCCGGAAGAAGCCGCCTTCTCCGACGAGGTTGTACGGCGTGAAATGGTCTGTGGCCGCGGCGAGCTCCCGGAACGCGAATGCCTGCCCCGTGATGGCGAGCCGCAGCGACGAGTCGTCGGCGGAAGCCTGGTGAGCGTGGTTCGCTGCATTGATTGAGCGAAACCAAATTCGTTTTAGAGTCGCGACATTTGGACGCGAGATCAAGAAACCGATCGAAGCAGAGGGCTCTATCTCTCACCGCCACCGGGCTTGGGCGGCGCCGCGGCTGCTGGAGCGGCGGCGGGAGCCGGAGAGTACGCGGCGGGCGCCTGCACCATCGCGGGTGGCGTCATGTTGGATGCCGGGGCCGCGTCGCCCGGGCTCTCCGCGTCGGCGTCGTCATTGTTGCCCTTTCCGCCGCCGAAGCACGGAAAGCAGCTCATCTTCCTTTTCCCTCCGCGCCTCCCCGTGGCTGCGACCTTGTGGGCGCCGAGAGGGCAGCGGGGGCGGGGGCGCGAGCGAGCGACGACTCGACGAGGGCAAGAACGCAGGGCACGCGCGCACGGACCGAGCCGCCGGCCGCCGTCACTGCGCGCCGACCATGCCCCGGCGTCTCAGCACCGACGCGGCGTCTCCACTTCGTGGAACGCCATGCCCGGGCTCGCCGCGCACCAGATGAACCCGACCGACCGGCGCGGAGCAGGGGAGCGTGCCCGACTAGTGGTGGCTTGCTCAGGCGACCGGAGAGGGGCACGGGGCCACCACGGGGGAGATGGTCGATGGCGATGGCAATGGAAGGAAGGCCTTGGAGATCGAGGGATCCAAGGGCCTTCCCAGAGAGAGGGGGATCGGGGGAGGACACCGATGGAGGGGAGGCGGGAGGAGAGGGAGGCTAAGTTTGGCTGGTGGAGTGGACCGAGGAGCGCTCCAAAACGAGGGGTTGGGAACGTGCAGACCACGCATGTACTTGGAAGCGAGCCGGGAACGGAGGCACGGCCCCGCACGACAGCGCGTCGTTCGCTCCTGCCTCCTGCCGGTTGCCGTTGCATGTTTGTTTTTGCCAGCCGGGACGCTTCGCCGGCCGTGTCTGGCTCTAAATCAGAACCAAATTGACATTCAGACTCCTGTGTTTGCACTGCTAAAACAGATCAGATTAAGTGTGAGTGACTCGTGAGTGTACATGGCTGATTGCTGAATGGATTCGTTCTAGCTTAATCGTGCAATCCCCTGCAAAGTCGAGAGGTACACTTGAAGCACAGGCGCGGAAATGGTTGGA